GGGCTCCTTGAACCAACCAAAATGTATCTTTGGTATCCCCCTCTTCTCTTTGTCTAAAACCTATAAAAGGCTCCACTCTCCCTTACTCTGGGCTCTCAGCACGGATCTGTTGAGTTGGTGAGGTCTGAGAACCCGAGCTTAAGCCCGAATAAACGATAAACCTTTCCTTTTGCATTTTGGTGTGTTGGGTCTTCGGTGGTCTTTTTGGGGTCCAGTGGATGAGGTACAACAACAGATTTATAGGAAATAGACCTAAATAAAGGATATAGATTCTTAGGCTTTTTAAAAGAAACTTCCTTTACTAAAATTTCTCAGGAGTGAGCTTTTTCTTTCCTCTTTTCTTCTTCTAGGAAGAAACATTCATTTAGTCACCCAACATTTATTGAGTACTCACAATGTGGCATGGGCTAGGCTTTGGAAGTAGAGAAAAGACAAGCTTCTTTCACTAGTTAGAGATGTGCACAGGCCTTTGCCTTTCTGTGTGACAGGTCCCAGGAATCCTCGGTTGACAGGAATGATTGGGTGTCACTGGGGCAACTACCTAAACTAATCTTGGAATTAAAATGACATTCCATCTGTGACTTTTCATGTAATGGGTGCTAAAAAGGAGTGAGAGAAAGAAAAATGAATGGAAGATTGCTGTTTGAATAAGCCTAAAACAAAAGTAGGAATTATGGGGTGAAACATGGTCTGGTACAGAAATCAAAGTTCATGAGACTAAAGTACATAGAAAGGGAAAATAATGAGAAGCATCGATGGAGCAGTAGACAAGGTCAAGTTGGGGGAGAGCTTAAAAGGTCATAGAACAAAGGACACAGCATGCTCTGAAGTCACAGGAAAATCTCTGAAGATGTTTCAAAAGAGAATGATACATTCTGACTCAAGATTCAGGACAGCCACCCTGTAAGTGAGGGACAGTAAGAGGCAACAGTGAAGGCCAGGCCAAGGGACACATTTGTTAGGTGCAGTAATCCAGGCAAATGATGACCTGGGAGAGAACCATGGCAGGGAGACAGGCATATGCAAATAAGCTCAAGAAACATTAGGTTTAGGGTTTAGAATTGAGAGGATGTGGCAAGTAGTGATATGTAAAGACACAGAAAACACAGAAATAAAATTATCTTTCTTAGAAAGAAGCGATTTTAGAGGCACCAAGAAGCAGTTTAGAGACTGGTTTGACTAGAGATAAAAATCTGGGCATTGTCAGTGTTGATAGTGTGGTTGAAGCCTTGGGAGTGTGTTGACTGAGTATCTGTTATTTGTTGAGTACCTGATACTGAGAGTACTATGTTGGGCACTGGAGACACAATAGTGAATTAAACAGAGAGGCTGGGAGAAAAATTCTCAGATACAGCAATACAGTATATAAAAACCAGGCAGAACAAACCTAAGATAAAATTTCCATAGAGGCAGGAAAAAACTCAAGTGAGATACTGCTAAAGTTAAAAGCAGAGAGGGTGTCTCCAGAGGAGGGGCTAAACCATGGGCAGTGTTTTTGTTATCGTCTAGGGATCTTGATCTGGTGTGTTTCCTCTGCAAATCAAAGAATTCAAAGGCAGGAAAAAATCTCAGACACAGCAGAAAACAACAGGTAACAAACTTTATTAAAAGTAAAGAAACATGTTGCATGCACACACTCTGAAAGAAAAGCTCTCCACAAGTGGAAGGAGGCCTAGGAAACTAAAAATCCAAAGCCCCCAGGAGGGCTGGGCCTTTTTACTATTTTTGGTTATATGGGGGCAGGTCCCCTTCCCCTAATTTTGGATTGGTCAGTTTACACAAAGAAGACTGATAGGCTACTGCTCCAAGCTGAGTCGTGTCCAGGTCTGGACTTCCTCTGAACTAAACGCCCAACTGGTCAACTAGAAAGGGGGGTCCCTGCTGCCTGAGAGGGGGCCCACAGGCTTTTGTCTCAGACAAGAAACCATATTTATTACTTATCAGTGGCCTTGTCTGCTTGTCAGGAATTTAGTCCCCCATTTCCAGTAAGTTCAGTAAGGTAAGAAAAATATTGGAATGTTGGCTTTCAGGAGGTGGATATTGTATTCAGTGGTAAGAACACTCTGAGCTTCCAGAATGTCTGGGAGAGCTTGATTTGGGTGGTTTGAGGAATGAGTAGGAGATGATGAAGTAGAGATAGAGCACAGACAACCTTTCTAATAAATCTTAGTGTAGAAAAAGAAGATGATAGTTATAGGAATTGGGCCATGAAAAGTGGTCTCTGAGCCTTCCTGCTCTCCCAAGACAGGAAGTACACTGGAGAGAATGCATGAGTGCTGCTGAATTTCCTGTGCTACATTACAGTCTCTCTAGGTGATAGTATTAGGAGATGAGGGCTTCTGGGAAGTGATCAGGTCTTGAGACTGAGCCCTCAGGAATGAGATTAGTGCCCTAATAAAAGGAACCCCAGAGATCTATCTCCCTTTGCCTTATGAGGATATAGCAAGAGGTTTGTAGTCTGCAGCATGGGAGATCCTTACCAGAATCTGACCATTCTGGTTCCCTGATACAGGTTTCCAGAACTATGGCCATTCTAACAGTATAGAAATTCACTGATTTGGGGATTGGACAAGTGTTTAAGTGGCTTCCTTTAACTAACTGTGTGATGTTTTTATTTGTGAGTTAATTAGGATAAAATTATTCTATTTAATAAAAAAAAAAGAGCTACAAGGAATCAGTTCTGTTGTTCAAGCTGGCAATTTGTTATAGCAGCCAGAACAGACTAAGATGGGCTGCGGATTGAGAGGACTGATGGAAAAACCATTGCAAGGGGGAGGGGTGGCTATGACACAGCAGAGGGGTAATTAGTAGAGTCTGTGGGAGGTGGCATACACTTGGAGCATGGGATGAATTAGGCTCTCCCTTGCACACATGCAGATAAAATTACTTGATTAGGCAGGTGGCTTTGCTGTCTTCTGTTGTCTATGTGAGGTAAGAAACATGCTAGTCCTCTGAGGGTAGGTGGTAAAGATGGAAGTGAGAAGAGAAATGAGGTTTAGGCCAAGCACGAAAACAGGAAGAACTACTGAGCTGTGCAGAGGAATGGCTCATGCTGTGCCGGGCACTTGCATGTGCATGAGAAAGGAAAGCAGTGTCAGGTATTAGGCTTTAGGATCAAAAACAACAGCTACCAGACTGAGCAGTAAAGGTAGGAGGGAATCTGTAAAGTAAGCACAGGAAAGGTCATTGCTACAGGCCCCCTGTGGGAAGGTGGGTGGAAGGCCCTGCTGATTTCTACCTCCCAGGAAAGCTGCTAATGAAGGAAAGAAGGGGAAATTCACTACCCAGCTGTGCCAGCTTTCTTTTTTCCCCTTATTGCTTGATATCAAGGAAGAATAGCTTCTAATGAGGGCTCAGAAGGCCTGGGCATGTCCTGGTGCTGAACATTTTTACATATTGTGGGTTAGCTTCCTCTGAGACTGCTCATTACTCAACACTTGTTAGAATAGTTTCAAACTGTGCAGACTGACACGTGAAAAAATAAGAACCTTCCAAATCTTGCTAACAATGAATTTAAGTTACCCGACTAATAGTTTGTTCCGATGAAATGATACATCCACTTGCAAAGACAATTTTCGTTTTTTTGTTTGTTTGTTTGTTTGTTTTTTTTTTAATGAATCTTTGGGATTAATTAGGTAGCTATTGACTACCCCCAAGATAAAAGTGCCACTACTGTCCCAATGTGGTTTGCTGTGCCAGTCATTGTTGTGTTATTAGGCCTTGCTCATATGAACCTACAGCAATGCTGTCAGCACGTACAAGACCATGCAAACTCAAGCAGACAAAAACCTAGCATAGAATTGTAGAAATGGGCATCAGGCCCCAATCTTAGCAGAAGAACTATTGGGCAGCTGATTACTGTTGGGTGAGGGACAGCTGATCTTTAAGGGAGTGACTCTAGATAGGCTGACTAGATCCCAGTGGAGAACTTGCACTGAGGGATGTCAGGGGACACTAATTTGACTCAATAGGTCTTAACATAAATGACAGAATACATGAAATCCAGTGTGGAGGGGGACTACAGGAGGGTGCCAACGGGGAAGGGGGGTATAAGGGGGATTATGTTGTTGGGTATGAAATACACAAAAATTCAAAAAAAATTTAAAAAAAGGAAACAAAAACAAAAAAGAATATGACTCCTCCTGAACACTCTGCCCAGATCTTGGTAGCATCTGTTCTAAGTATACCTGGGGGCGAGAATATGTTCTCTAGCCTTCATAGAACCAGAATTATTATTAACTAGAATAAGCTTATGTCTAAAAGGAAACTCTAAACTATGAATGGGGCTAAGGCATGGGAAGAAAAGCCATCACACAGATCTTTTCCTCTGTGCATCTGACATAAAATTCATTCTATTTTGCTAGCTTCTAGATAGAGAGGTAATAAATTAATTACAAGACAGAGACTGATTCATTTTCAAGGGCTTAGGTACTGCTTTAATTTTGCTGTGACATTTTCTTTTTTCTTAAATATTTTATTTATTATTTTTATTTTATGTGTATGACTGTATTGCCTGCATGTATGTGAGTGCACCCTTGTCATACAATGCTGCAGAGGTCAGAAGAGGGCTTTGGATTCCCCTGGAACTGGAGTTAAGGACGGTTCGTAGCCACCATGTGGGTGCTGGGAATTGAACCCAGGTCCTCTGCAAGAGCAGCCAATGCTCTTAACCGTTGAGCCATCTCTCCAGCCCCTGCTGTGACATTTTCAAAGCAGTCTCTGTCTATTCTGTCTTTGGCATTCAGTGACATTATGTATCTTTTTTTAAGCTTTCTGATAAGCAGGAAATTCTTAGGTCTAGTATGAAAAATTATAATGAAAAAAGAATGAGTAACTTACTTGTGCTAGTAGACTGTGTTTTTCATGTATGTAAATTTATGAAAATGCAAAAAAAAAGAATCTTTGGGACTGAAGCTGGCAGTCTTCATATTTTGGGAGACTTCATATTTTGGAGAAAATATGGAATTTTTAAAATTTCTAATATGGGCCACCTACCATAGGCTAGAATCTTTGAGGGTATAAGCAGAGATTTTACTCCAGACCTCAACATTGTGTTTGTTTTTTGCCTAAGAACGCAGCTATCAAGCTTGCTCTTGCTTAATCCATGACTTAACACTGGTGCCCACTTGTGCACAGGCGTGGAGTCTGCAATGGCCTTGGGGGAAGCAGGGATTCTGCAACACAAGGAGCTGCTCTGGGCCTCACAAAGGCCTTCCCTGTCAGCATCCTGAGACTTGTGACCACTGACATGTGCCTGGGCCGTACATATGCAAACATGTATTATCTAGCTTTAGTTAAGTTAATATACACAGAGTGCACAGAAGTCTTTCTAAAATATTTCTGTCAGGAACCTTAGATGGATGTCACCATGAAGAATACAAATGCAAAGAAACAAAACAAATTACAGTGGACGCTCTTTCTACTCCTCATTATAGCACATCATCGCTCACATGGAAAAGCAAGAAACCAAGATGATGTAGGGAGATCTGACATGAACTTGATGTAAAATTTAATTAATCGATTATTTAAAAAGTTGAAATTGTCAAGAGGACTAGTAGAAGTATGAATTTATATTTACTGTGATTAGTTCTATACCTTACCCCAAGGATGTATCTTGCTTACATACTTATATAATGATTATTACTTCCTTGTTATATGAACATTTCATGATTAGCCAACCATTTAAAATACTATTTTATCACTATTTCATCCTGTAAATATTCTTACTTTTTGTTTTATAACACTCATGCCATATCAATATAATATATAAACTATATTGCTATATATACTATATATTGCCTATAAATATAAGGTATATATGTATTTACTTATTTGGAGTAGGAGCTGAGATTTTTTAAAAATTAGAATTTGCAGATTGGAGTGATGGCTCATCAGTTAAGAGCACTTGCTGCTCTTGCAGAAGACCCAGGTTCAGTTCCCGGCACCCACATGGCAGTAATCATCTGTAACTCCAGTTCCAAGGGACTCAATCTCATCTTATGGTCTCCACAGGCACCAGGTATGCATGTGGTACACCTACATGTAGGCAAAACACTCATACACATAAAATAAAAATAAATAAATCTTTAAAAAATAGAATTCTCTATAAAATTTTGGACATCATCAGTCACCATGTCGGTGATATTTTTCAAAAATATATGTGGACCACAGACGACTAGGAATTCTTATTTGTGCTTCACAAACCTTCAGACGAAGGGAGGGACCAGCCAGTAGTTCCCCATGTCCCCAGCTGAGGGAAAGGAGCCACATCTCCAAGCCACATGTGCCAGTGGCCATGAGAGCTTACCTTCTGCTTCTCCTTCTCAGTCACAGATTGCTTGGAGCTTTCTACAAGGTGGAAAAGTGCTTCATGCTTCTTGGTACTCACCATTAACTTTTTCTTAGCCTAGAGTCAAAAACATACAAACAAGAAAAAAAAGAAACAAAAACTGATGTTCAGACAAAAACTCTTCTGCTTTGGAATGAGGTCTGTTTGAATGATTGTAAATTTTTACTTCTCTGTTTCCATCTTCATCTCAAAATGTGCCTAAAATATAGCAAACTTTCAGAGAACTACTGTGTATGATTTGGAGTATATGCAAGAGGGTTAGTCATCTTGAATGCACAATTCTCTTGCCTCAGCCTCCTGAGTGATGGGATTGCAGGTATGCTCCGTCATGCCCAGATTAAGCTTTCAGACTAGAGAATGAATAATGAAGGGGAAGCTCAGGGCTCTAGCGTTGGGAAACAGGCACAGCATACTATTTTTCTTGAACTGTGAAGGCTCTAAAAGAGGGAATTCAAGGACCAGGTAGCTCACTGCCTTTTCCTGTACCTTCAACGGGTCACATGCCTGCTGATAAGTGAGTGTGAGGCCAAAGTACTTGGCCCTTTAAGGCTTTGCAAAGCAGACTGCATTTCATGACTGACACACTGAATCTCTTGAATTGTAACTAGGGAGGAAATGATTACAGCTCGAGAATTCTATGCTGTATAATTTCTTTGTCATGCTTCATAAGAATAATTTTATTTAGAAAAATGATTTATCAGAACCTAGAAAATAAGAAAAGGTGGTTTTTGTTCCTTGAAGCAATTACAGATCTGGAGCATTTTTTCTGGCTTTTGGTTCATTGTATTGAATTTCCTGTGAAAGCTGAGTATTTAAAGATAAGTGTTTCTTCAAAACAAATCCCTTTTAACAAAGCTTAGAAAATTAAGACTTAAATTTGAAACAAATGATTGGATGTTTTATTGGACTTTAAAATTTTTTTAATTTTTATTTTATGTGTATGAGTGTTTTGCCTGTAGGTGTGTCAGTGCATCGCTGTCCTATGATGTCCATGGAGACCAAAATAAGGCATTAGATCCCCTAGAACTGGAATTACCAACAATTGTTAACCACCATGTGGGTGCTGGGAGCAAAATCCAGGTCCTCTGCAAGAGCATACAGTGCTCTTAGCTACTGAGCTAAGGATTTCCAGATCCTTCTCTCCAACTTAAAATGTGTTTTTATTAAAGTGACTCTCATGAGCCTCTTTTTATTAGCACAACTACTGCAGGTATAGAAATCTGCGTCTTAAACATTTCCTATCCTGGTTTCTGGAGTCTTCAATTACAGATGAAGCTTTAGAAGGGAGCCTTGGGGCAGCTGTTCCTGAGGGACTTTCTGGTTATTTGGGGCAGGTGACTTCTTACTTGCAAAGATTCTCTTTGGATACTAACACTTGGGAGATGAAACAGGAAGAGTTCAATTCTTCTTCAAGGGTATCACTGGGTTTTCTTAGCAGATTCCTCAGCCTCCAATCCCTCCTACCCAAAGTGAACTCCTCCTGCACTAGATTATTCTAGAATAATCTTCTGTACATATAGACCTCATCTCTTGCTATTTCTCTTGCTTAAGAACCAATAATGGAATTCTTTATCTTCTCATCTCAGATCACAATTCTTCTCTCTAGAAGAATCCATTGGCTGTTTCCTGTATATGTTAAGTAGCCAACTAAGTTACCAAGTACTTGAAAGTAAGGATCATGCCTCAGTAGTATGTACAGGAGCTGGACCATATCTACTTGTAGAATCAACATATGTACTGCCCTTGACATGTCACTGTATGCTCTTCTCTATGCCCCCTCCCTAGCAAGGGAGAGTTCACCAACACCCTTACACAAATGATAATCCCAAGTAGTATTTTGTTACTTGCCTCACATTTCAAATTACACAGAGAGGCAGCCAATAGAATGTGGATGCAGAGCAGTGACTCCATGAATCCATGAACTACTAAGAATTCTTGGCTCAGCCATTAACCAGATGTGTAGTCTTGAAATTGCTTAAATTTTCTGTGTCAGACAATTAAAATGTAAAATAAGACAATGCAGTCAAATATCACTTTTGTTGTTGTGATGATTAAATACATAAATATTCAGCCCTTGGACATAATAAATGATATGTAAATGTTACCTATAAATAATAACATATTTTGATAATTTTCTTCTTTGTTTGAAAGGTGCATCTATGTAATAATTCAACCAGTACATAGAAAAACGTGTGTACAAAACCAAAAAACTTCAATCCTAAAAACTGAATTTATACAAATGACATATGTCCATACTTGCCTTAATTTGCTGATTCCAGTTGTTAATAACAAGATTTGCTGTTTTTTCAACTTCATTATTAAGCTAGTGAAGAGAAAAACAGAAAAAAAAATGTGTTGCTTTTTTGCTTAGTCACCGCTGTTGACTATATCTTTGTGACTCCCAAAACTCGTTGGCTGAAACCTATTCTTGCAAAGCGGTAGTATTTAGAGATGGAACTTTGGAAAGTGAATGGATCATGAAGGCAGAACCTTCATACATGGATTATAAGAGGTCTGAAGGGCTGCCTCACTCCTTCTACCAGGGGAAAATGCAGCAAGGAGACGGACATTGCTAAAGCAGCAATCCCTCACCAGAAACCAAATCTACCTGTGCCTTGGTCTTGAAACTCCTAGAGTTCAAGTTCTCTAGAACTGTGAGAAATACGTTTTTGTCATTTCTAAGCTACCCACCCAGATCATGGTGTTTATTACAACACCCTTAACTAACTCAGCTAGCCACAGTGCTGCTTGTTAATTCTGGCTCAATCACAATTCATTGGAAATCCCATAATTCACAGGATCCATCATTCATTGAAAATCCTGTAATAGGCACATTTCCTGAGGAAAGTATCCAGATGAGTTGATCTCCATGTCAAGTGTCTCTTGACATGATTTGCAAAACAATGATTTCTAATCTGTAACAATGTGAAAAGCATACACACACACACACACACACACACACACACACACACATACACACACACACACACACACAATGTTGCAGCAGATGTTCCCATTATATCCCATCACATCCACTTCAACATCAATCCATGTGATGAAAACAACCATACCATGAGAATCAATAACTTGCAATGTTAATTTCACTGTCTCCACTGCCCCTGGTGTGATTATTACTTTAATTTCAAAGAGACCACATTCTTCATCATAATTAACTTGCAAAGAGGAGATAGTAATGATAATGATGGATTCTGGGTGTGGTGGCTCCTGTGCTAATCCTAGCACTCAGTAGACTGAGGCAGCAGGCTCATCAGACGTTTGAGACCAGGCTAGGATACATAGTGAGTTATGAGTCAACCTGCTCTACAGAATGAAACCCCATCTCAAAATAAAGAAAGACAACAAAATACTAATGATGGTGATGAAGGGGCATCTACGTAAACCCGTGGAGAGGGCAGATATAAGTTAGGGCAGAACCTTTTGTCCTTGGACCACAGACTCAGTAGATCATCCAGATGAGTAAGTGCCTTGCTTTGATTTTTCCCAGTGGTTAAATATAGAATACATGGTTTATTGTAAGAAACACAAACTAAGTTATTTTGCACACCATGCCTTTTTTGACTCCATGGATGTGGTTGGGATATAGAGTAAGTTCTCTTTTAAAAAGAAAATTTAATGATTTGTAAGAGAGTAGGAGGACAAGGTACAGTGAGAGGGCGATACAGAAGAGCAATAGGGACAGTTTGGAAGGTGATGCTATCAACTGCCTAATGCACTGTGACAAACTGTCACAGCACTGCCTAATTTATGATATTGAGGAGGTGTAATTATTATAGTATTATATGGTGTCATCATTAGCTTCAGTTGTCAACTTGATACACCTGAGAAGAGGGAACCTCAATTGAAGAACTTCCTCCATCAGATTGGCCTGTGGCCATGTCTGTGAGGTATTTTCTTAATTGCTAAGTCATGTAGGAGGGCTCAGTCTACTGAGGCAGTGCCATCCCCAGGCAAGTGGACCTGAGTTGTATAAGAAAAGTAGCTGAGCAAGCCAGGGGGAGCAAGCCAGGGGGAGCAGGCCAGTAGGCAGCATTCCTCCATGGTCTCTGCTTCAGTTCTGCCTTCAGTTCTGCCTTGGCTTCTCTCAACAATGGACTATAAGCTGTAAGATAACTCTTTCCTCCCCGGGTTGCTTTTGGTCATGGTGTTTATGACAGCAACAGAAAAGCAAGCTAGGACACATGGTATGTAAAATATTTGTAATTAATGAAACATAGGTTAGCTTTGGTTTTTATAAAGTTGGCTGGCAAAGACAGATCATTGTATTATTTCAAAATAATTTTTGTAAACTTCTACCCATTACCCTAGCCTTCCATTAGACATCCATTGTAGTGGAACATATGCATACACAAATACCAGTTCTACTTCCTGACTCCATTTAATGAATTTACGTTTAATTTATTTTCATTTTTATCTGAACTTCCCTAACTCCCCTTGTCTTCTTGACTGACAGCCAACCTGAAACACTCTTCCAGTGACCATCCTCCCACCTCCTCCCCTGCCATGCCCAGGATCTCTGGGAAAGGCTCTGGTACTTCTTATCTGTACTTGGTCCTGACTCCACCCCTGTCAGAGCCCTGCTGCATTCATTAATAGCCACGGGTATGGCCTGGAAACATTGTTTAAAGTGGGTAACCGCTGTGATGCACAGAGGGACAGGGAAGAAGCACAGGAGAAATTGTTCTGGAAGGAAAGACATAGCCCCAGAAGGCATGCTACAAAAGGGCCAGCTGTCTTGGAGGAAGAGTTCAATGTTTTCCTTTGATTTTAAGGATATTTGAGAATTGCAATTGCTATGAACTTTATGTAATCCTGCACTGCTAGGAGTAGAAATGCCTCTTTTGAAAAAAATTGTTCTTATAGGACTCAGAACACAGCTTAACAATAGAGTTAATAACATTGTAAATCCTGTTTTAAAGTACAAAAATCGAAAATAACCTCTGATTTTATCATCTCAAAGTAATTCTTATTAACATTTTGGAGAGTCTTTCCAGTTTTTTTCTATGCATGTATACACTTATTTATTTTATAAATTGAGATCGTATTGTTTATTCATCTTGCTTTTTTATTTAACACTACATATAATTAAAGATTTATTTTATTATTTTTCTTATGTATATGTATAGGCATGTATGTTTGTGGGTATGTGTGTGAATGTGAGTGTGGCTGCTTGAGGCCAGAAGAGGGCGTTGGACTCCTGGATCTGGAATTATAGGTGGTTGTGAGTTAATTGACATAGGAGCTGGTATTCAAACCCTGATCCTCTGCAAGAGCAGCAAGTGCTCTTAACTGATGAGCCATAATAAGATTTTGTTTGTTTGTTTGCTTTTGCAGTACTAGGTATTGACTCCAAGGCCTTGGACAGGCCAGGCAAGTATGTGGTCAGTGAGCTATAGCTCCAGCCCTTCCATAAGTCTTTTAATGACTGCACAGTATTCTATTGCTTGACTTCACTGTCATTTTTTAATTTATTTTTAATATTTTATTTATTTATTTTGTGTGTATGAGTATATTCCCTGCATGTTTGTAAGTATACCCGTGTAGTTCAATGCCCACAGAGGCCAGGAGAGAGCATTGGATCCCCAAGAGCTGGAGTTACAGATGGTTGCTAGCTGCCATGTGAATGCTGGGAATCAAATCCGGGTCCTCTGCAAAAATAGTCAGTGCTCTTAACTGCTGAGCCATCTCTTCAGCCCCTATAATTTATGTTTTAATGATAAAGTAGTTTCTACTTGTTTGCTATTACAAATACTGCTCTAAAGTTTTTTTCTTCAGTCCATGGTGGTTTATGCAGAAACTCCCAACTGGTCAAAGTGTAGAGCATAAATGACTGTGCAGTGCTCACACACTCCTTCCCCAAGGCTCGGGAACTATCTCAGAAGAGAGGCTGGAAAGATTGTCAGAGCCAGAAGTCAGGGAGGTCCAGAGTACAACCGTGTTTTATGGACATGACAGGACCTCTGCACTAATGGAACTCACCGCACCAATGGCTACCTACACAAGACCTGTACAAGAACAAACCAGTCAACATTCTAGTATGGAGTGGGAAGGGGTTCATGAGCCCCCACCCCTAACTGAGGAGCTATGGACAGTTGATGGCTTCTGGGGGAGGAGAGTCAGTTTTCTTTAAGGGTGTGACTCCTGATAGGTAGACCATGCTCCAGTGGATGGTTCTGTACCCAGAAGTGTATGATCAGCACAAATTAAGGTTGATGGGTTATGGACAACACAAATTAAGGTCAATGGGTTATTACATTTAGAAATAAAGAGGAGGGGCTGGACAGATGGCTCAGCAGTTAAGAGCACTGGCTGTTCTTGCAGAAGAACTGGGTTCAAATCCCAGCACCCACATGGCAGCTAATAACTGTCTATAACTCCAGTTCCAGGGGCCCCAACACCCTCTTCTGTCCTCTGCGGGCACAGCACAACACTGGCGTACTTTAAAAACTTTTTTTAATTAAAAAAAAGAACGTGATATTGGGGGAATAGAGGGGATCTGGGGAGAGTTAAGGGGAGGAATAGGGGGTGAATAAGATCAAAATATATTGTATGAAATGCTCAAAGAAAATAAAAATATTTATTAAAAAACAAAGAAAAAAAAACCACACTGCTCTAACAAACATCCTCATATTTGCATCTTAGTTGTGTTTATTATTATTATTATTATTATGACAAATTCTTAAGACCCAATATCACTTTTAAATTGACAGAAATCTTGTTTGTTTATTTACTTCTGTAGTCTCTTAGTCTTTTGAGGCAAAGCCTCAAGCTGCCCAGGCTAGCACTGAGAATGCTATGTAGTTCAAGGATGAACTTGAACTCCTGATCCTCCTGCCTCCACCATCCAAGTGCTAGGATTACAGGCATGCAAGATAATACTCCTCTCTCTCTCTCTCTCTCTCTCTCTCTCTCTCTCTCTTTCTCTCTCCCCTCCCCCTCCCTCCCTCCGTCCCTTCCTTTCTTTTCTTTCTCTTTTCTTTTTCTTGAGACAGGGTCTCACTATATAGCTCTGGCTGGCCTGGAACTCAGAGAGATCAGCCTGCCTCTGCTTTCCAAGTGCTGGGATTAAAAGTGTATGCCACCATGCCTGGCTACCTTTTTATTTTAATTTTTTTATTTTGGGGGAGTTTTTGAAATAAGGTCCCACTGAGTAGCCCTGGTCAGTTGGCCTGGAGCTTACTATGTAGAACAGACTGGCTTCGAACTCACAGAGATTCACCTGCCTCTGCCTCTGGAGTGTTGGGATTAAAGGCCTGTGCCACCATACCCAGCTAGCTTTTTTAAAAGTAATGTTTTATTATTTGGGGGTTTGAACCTAGGGCCTTGGGCATGCAAACAAGTGCCCTACCACTGAGCTATATGCCCAGTCCTAGAAATCTTGCTTTAGGCTCCAACTCACTGATTTTCTTTTCTTCTCTTGCACACTCAGGACTTGATTAGTTGGCTTTATTGCTTCCAACTCAATTGCTTTGCCAAGTTTCCTGGAAATAGAACATAAAGACAGACAATCATTGTCCTAGGGTTTATATCTACTGTCCGAATCACTTTCTAAGGAGATGAAATGTCATGTTATAGCATGTCTGTTTAGTGCAAGTTTAAGTGGAATATTTGTGCCCCACCCACTTAAAATATTTATACCTCCCCTTGAGCTTGAAGCATCCCTTGGGGAGTGGGGAGGTAGAGGGGCATGGGGAGGGAGGGTGTAACTGGGAGCACTCACTGATGCAGGTCAGCTGCGGATTTCATGCCCTCAGAAGCCCAGGCCCAGGCACTGCTGAGACAACTAGACAAAGACAGGTGGGGACAAGGGTGGGCATCATTTTCCCAGTAAGTGCCGAGAAATCAAGCATTACTCTCCACCCACTGCCTTCACCACCACATTCATTGCTCTTGCTCGTGTTGCAGTTTCTCCATGAGATTAAATTCCAGGATATTTATTCACACTACAGATATTATACACACTGCTGTTTCCCCAGTCATTTCTTTTTTCATTGAGATTTTCATCTTCAATTTCATGTTTTCAGAAAACCAGTGAAATAAGCAGCCAAGGAAGGGAAAAGGTGAGTGGTGGGATTTTAGAAGATTCTCAAAGACAATCTTTTCAGGTTCCTCACTTTACAGATGAATAAAGTCTTTGAGGAGGTGAGTGACAGAAGACTTGACTCCAGGTCCCCCGTCCCGTCCTGCGTGCTGCTCTTGGAGTCTGGCTCCCGGGCTATGCTGACTTTTAGGCTAGCCTCATATCTTTCCTGATCCTGTGAGCTATATCCACAGAACACAAAGGGCAGCAGCACTGCCCTGTCCCTGAGGGGTTAGGAAGTGTGGTGGTGGTGTTATCCTCTCCCATAGCAGGGAGAGGACTCCAGCAAACAAGAGAGTGCCTGTTATGGCACGTAAATCAAACCAAATGCAGTTGTTTTAAAAAGGATATGAGGAACATTTTAGGAAAAAACCTCTCATTTGCTCCTCACAGCTGCTGGATAGCAGGGCAGGAAATACGTCATGTTGGCTTCAGCCTGGTATCCAGGTCTAAAAGCAGATGCTCTTAGCCCCAAGTGTTCTGCATGACCCTGGAATACTCACTCACTTCCCGACCCTTATTTAACTTAGCTCATAAAATAAAAACACACTGGGATATTTATACAAGTATCTAAGAGATTTTGGTATAAAGAAATACTCAATTAATATTTATTATCAAATACTACACTAATGCTGGTTCATTGAACTTTCTGAACATGCCAACTCTTTGGATGCAGGGTTGCAATATGATGGGACTCACATGTCTTTGCACCCCTCCACTTCATTCTTTAGGAGGTAATTGAGTAATTAGAGTGAAAATAAAACCATAAAAAAACTAGGCATTCATGGAGTTTATGTTCTTTGCCAATGGCTCTTCTAAGTCCCCTTGTATTCTTTCATTTAATCCAGTAACTGTAGGGGACAGATATTTGATATTCTTTTTAAAAATTTTTATGGAATTTTTGTGTATTTTATACATAAAATTATCTTTATATCCCTCTCTCCTTTGGCACCCTCCCATAGCCCCCCCCTCACTGGAGTTCATACATTCTATTATTTGTATTAAGGGCTATTATGTGAAGTTAGTGTCCTGAGATGTCCTTCAGTACAAGTTCATCCACCCAGGTTCAGTCGGACTATCTAGGGTCCTTCCCTTTAAGAAGACCAGTTCTTCCTCACTCAGCAGCAATCAGCTGCCAATAATTCTTCAACTAAGATTGGGGCTTTCTGTTCATTTCCGCAATTCTGTGCTGGGTTTTTGTCTGCCCGAGTTTGCATGGGTCTTGAGTATGCTGACACCATTGCTGTAGGTTTGTATGATAAGGGTCCCAGGACCCTGTAGGACTATTTCTTTATAGTCATCCACTTCCTCCCTGGCTCTTACAATCTCTCTGCCCACTCTTCCACAATGGTCCCTGAACCCCGCCCGGGTGGGTGGACCTCAATATAGGAGACCTGTCCAAGGACCCACATTCTCCTGATTCTTATTCTCTGCATTTTGGCTATTTGTGACCTTTTGTGTTCCTGGCTCTCCTTTGCATGAGGCAGTTTCATTGATGAGCATTGAAGATGCATTAGTGTTCTCTTCATCCCTTGTTCTGTGTTCAATGAGTCTTAGGTGTAGAGGTTGGATCCTAGATGTGCACTTAAGCTTGGGCAATTCACAGAGAATCTCTGTGTGTGACTAGTGGTGTAGCTCTGTAATACTGTAATAATCTCTGTTGAAAAAGAAGCTACTTTGATGGGTGGTGACTAGGATACTTGTCTGTAAATTTAAGGATCCATATTTTGTACATAGTAAGAAATTACATTTGTCTAAGGATATGCAAGCCTTGGGGTTTTCTCTAAGACCTATGACCTCTCCAGCTATGCATATTTGGCTAGGTTTATAGAACCAGACATCAGTTTCATCCCATCAAATGTGTTTTAAGTCCAATTAGGTAGCTGTTGATTGCCACCAAGAAAAAGTGCCGCTACAAAAAAAAAAAAAAAAGTGCCACTACTGCACCAATGTCGTTTGCTGTGCTGGTCATTGATATGGTTTTTAGGCCTTGAAGCTGGGGTTGGATCAGGGATATATTTTATCTACATTTATTTTATTTATACATAAAATACATTTATGTACAATGTATACATAAATAATATATTACATTTATGTTATGTTTATTATCATTATTTATGTTTCTTTGAGACAAGCTCTCATAGTGTAGCCTAGACTGGCTTAGAACTCACTGTGTAGCCTAAACTGGCATCAAACTCATGGCACTTCTCCTGTTTTAGCCTATAGAGTGCTAGGATTGCAAACATACAAGTTCATCACCCCATTCACCTTTATTTACAATTTAAAGAGATATTTAGAGAAATCTGAATTGTCCCAGACCACTCATGTGCTAAGTGGGAGAACTAGAGCCTTCTGTACTCAACCATGTGCCATGCTGGCTCCTTTGTAGTCTACCAAGAAAGTATCCTGAAAACTAGACAAAGCTAGGAGTCAGAGCAACTTCTAAGCAATTTGCTCTCACAGTAGTGCCTAAGAAGTGGGGACTGGGATTCCAGAAGCTTCTCTTTTCCAGTCTTTTCCCTCTCTCTCATCATAAGGAGCCTTGGCAACAGCACTGCAAGTTCAGTCATGTCTGCGTGCATCAGTCAAGAAGCTTCATTGCAGATTATCATATGGACCACTTTTAGAAATTCAGTATCCTCTCTCTTCCAAAAGAAAGAATCTGCTTCATTTTTATTGTTGCCCACTATTGAGGAGAATGTGAGCTAACATTGTTTAAGCCCAGCGTGTTAAGGTCTTCACACACATTATTTCATTTAATATTCAGTATGCATATGGCCACACACTCCACATGATGCTCACATATACAATTGGAGCACATATCACTACTCCACCTTGTAGAGGAAGAGAGACCAAGATTCCTGTCAAAAGTCACAGAGTAGAGATAATACAGAATTTACACTTCCTGCCTCTAAGACCTTCTGACTTAACACCATTTCCCAAGTGAAATATCATCATCGAGCCAATTACAAATGTGGGTTCAGGGGTCATGAAGACCCAGGATGAGTCCAGCTGTACAGTTATTAACTTCATGGTTGGGGAGTTATTTCAATTCTCCCGCCTCAAGGCCTTATCTGTAAGGGAGGCTAATAACAAGAATTCTCAATGGTTCTTATGAGGATAAAACAGGAGCAACTGCAAAGCATTTGACACAGCTCCTGGTCTGGAGTAAATGCCCAAGACCTGGAAGCCATGCTTGCTGGGATTGTGCCTGCTACGTGTGTAGGAGGAAACTGCACGTGGGCATTTGTCACTTTCAATGTTTTAAAGAAGAGTTTTGCCTTACCTCTGCCATGATACTTACTTTTTCTTTGAGCCCTGTAGTGCTTTGCTCAGTTTGCCTGCCAGTTTCTGAAGTCCTTTGGCATAGCTAATCTCCAGGTTGGCCCTATGAATAAGCAAAGGGCTATTTGTTAAGTAAGCTGTGCTGGTCAGAAATCAGCAAAGACATCCATGGTCATTTAGAACTGGGAATACATTGGTCCAGGCTTTTCTGGCTTTGATAGTTTGCACTGAAAAGTCAGCTGTTATTCTGATAAGTTTTCCTTTATAAGTAACTTGTTTCTCTCTAGCAGTTTTCAGTACCCTCTCTTTATTCTGTATTCACTGTTTTTACTATGATATGCCATGGGGAGTTCTAGAGGATACTACATAAGCTGCTAAGGGAGAAAATCAATCAATGGTCCAACCCAGCTGTAAAGCCTTATAACCACAATGACTGGCACAGCAAACTATCTCTATTGGTGCAGTAGTGGCACTTTAATCTAGAGGGTAATCAACAGCTATCTAATCGGACTTAAAGCCCTCCCAATGGGAAGGAACTCATGGGTGGCACTGTAAATATGACCAAATACACATGACTGGAGAGGTCATAGATCCTAGAGAAAATCCTATATCGTATCTCTGGACAAATGAAATTTCTTACTATATGCTAAATGTGGATCCCTACATTCATAGACAAGAATACTGTACACCACTCATCAAAGAAGCTTCTTTTTGCAGCAGATGAAGGCTATTACATAGTTCCACACCTGGTCACACACAGAGAATATATATCTGAGAGATTTCTAGCCCTAAGTGACACATCTACACTGGAACCTGAGCTCATAGAACCTAGTGGAACAAGGGATAGAGAGAAAACTAATACATCCCTCAACTCTTACCAGAGAAACTTCCTTATACAACAGAGTACAATGCATAAAGGCCACAGTTGATGAAGTTTTAGAGAATAAGAGACTGCAGTGTGCAGGTCCCTGGATAGGACTCCTATATTAAACCTCACCCACCATGACTCAGGGATCATTGTGGAAGAGGGGATGGGAGGGTGGAAAGATTGTAAAAGCCAGGACTGGTATATGAACATAAAGAAACAGAGGCTTTTGGGCCTCTGGGAATCTGCTCATATGAACTTGCAACAATGACAGCACACACAAGACCCATGCTGGCTCAATCAGACAAAAAAAAAATCCAGCATAGAACTGGGGAAATGGGTAGCAGGCCCTAAGGGATAATAGATCTTTTTTTTTTTTAGGGGAGTTACTCTAAGCAGGCTGACTAGACTCCAGTGGATGAAGGGACCTCTGGGTACAAATGCTTGACCAGATGGGCTTTAACATATATGACAGAATGCATGAAATTCAGTGAGGGGTACGGATAGGGGAGGGGGCCTGAATTTGATCAAGATCTATTATATGAAATGCACAAAAACTCAAGAAAAATATATATAAAAAAGAGATCAGCAAATACATACACAAACACCAGACATAGACACAGACAGGCACGCACACACACACACACACACACACACACACACACACACACACAAACTCTCACATATTTAAGGTCAGGCTGAAAAAACAATGCCTTCAAGAGGAAGAGATGATTTATTTATTGAAGGATTCACATGTCTTTAGGGAAATCCTTAAAAATATCAAAGAGAGTCTGACAAACAGAGAGTGTTCTAGTTAACTTTCTTTTTGCATCAGTGTTATGGGCTATTATTTTTCCCCCAAGGGGCCATAGTCCTGAACCCTGGTATATTGGTTACTCTCCTCATTGCTGGGACAAAATACTTGATGAATGCAACTTCAGGGAAGAAGGCTTTTATCTTACTCATTGTTTGAGGGTGCAGTCCATTGGGAAGGCTAGGGACGCATGATGGCTGCTGGTTACACTGCGTCTTCGGACAGGAAGCAGGTAAGATGACTGCTGATGCTCAGTTGGCCCTCTCCTTTGCTTTTAGTTCAGAACCCTTGCCCATGAGATTGTGCTGCCCACTTCGGTCTTCCCACCTCAGTTAAGCCCCTCTGAAAATGCCTTCACAGGTATATCCAGAGTTGTGGCCTACGTGATTTTAAGTTGTGCCAAGTTGACAGTCAGTATCAACCATCACACACTGGATCTGCAAGCGCATCTTATTTGGAAATAGGTTCTGTGACAGTGATGGCTAAACAAGGCTCAAAGCAATATTGATATGTCCTTAGAGAAGAGGAAACATGGACTCAGAGACAGACACCTGCATGGGGTGAAGACTGTGTGAACGTTCATGAAAGCAGAGATCAGAGGACGGATGCATGTATAAGCCAAGGGAAGCCCAGGATTGACAGTAAGACATCAGAAGCTAGTTGGGGCATAACACAGCATCCTCGTCACAGTTCATGGCAGGAATCAATAGGCTGACTCCTTGATCTCAAGTAGTAAATATTAGTTATTCTTATATTACTGTTATGAACCTGAAAGGAACTGTTAATACCAGAGGGGTCAGTTCAGAGGGAAGAGTGCACTGCTCTGCACCATCGTCTTCACTCAAACAGTGCTGAGGGCCTCTGGTGGAGAACTAACTGATGCTGACAGGAAAAGCCTCTTCCTCACAATTCAAGTTCACTTTTAGAATGTTCACTCCTACTCTGTAAAGGGTCTGAGAGGCTAAATGAGAGAAACAATTACCAGAAAGAAGCAATGCTTTCCTTTACATTGGTGGCTTCATTGTATTCACAGGGGAAAGAATGTAAGATTGTGGTGTCAGGATGAGGATCTTTACTTTCAGACAATTTGGAAGTTTGAATCTGGCCCTGCTCCTAAACTCTCTCTCTCTCTCTCTCTCTTTCTCTTTTTCTCTCTCTATCTTTCTGTCTCTCTCTACTCTCTCTAGCATACCATGTAGCCCAGGTTGACCTTGAACTCAATCTCAGGATGACTTTAAACTCCCAATCTCCTGCCTTCACCTCCTGAGTACTGAATTAGTCATGTACCACCATGCTCAGCTTCCATAACAAGATCTATTTGCCAATTCTTGCATCTCAGTGGCATGGCAGACTTGTGAGTATCCAGATCAAAGTCCTGTCACTAGCACATGAATGTCTAAAGAGTGGCTTCCCTACTGTGCAGTGTGTCCCCTTTGTGACTGAGCTGATGTTTCTCCTATGCTCTATCTATACACAAAAATAACAACATCCATTTATCAGGCCTCTACAACATGAAAGACATCATTGTAAGCATTTAAGTGTTTTCTTTTACTTTTTAATTATATTTATTTATTTATTTATTTATTTATTTATTTACTATCTGTTGTGTGTGCTCAAGTGCCACAGCACATGTGTGGAAGTCAGAAGACAAGGTGGTGGGGAGGGTCGTTGTGCTCCAGACTTCAGTCTTTCTACCATGTGGGTGCAGGGATCAGACATGGCAGCAAGCCTTTTACATTCTGAGTCATCTCTCCACCCTCTTTTGGTGTGTTTACTTTACAATAATCTGCATGGGGTGGATATAATTTGCTTACTTATTTTCCAAGGGGAATGTTGGGCATAGAGTTTAATTGGTGGCTCTACTGAGAACACATGAAAAGAAGGTGACACACTGGCTGAGCACCTGGGCACTCCAGTTGATCTTCCTGCTCCTTAGTGGTGTCATTCTCCCCACTCCAGTTGTATAGAAGAGGGAGCATTGCCAGGGCAGTCAGGCTAAAGTGCATCTTAAAATCTGAGCCACTTTTCATTTCACCTTCAATTGTAGAGTCTGAATCTGCTGCTAGAAATCCTACTCACAACTGCCTCAGTGCAGATGCTAAGAATCTCTGTGCTCCAGGGCCCTTTCCCAAGGCATTTGGTGGGCAAGGAGTGAGAATGTTAGTTATCTGGCAGAATGGCAGTGGAGGGGCACCTTGATATCAAATATCACTAGCCTACCCCTTTTAGGCTAGATTGAGATGGATCGAGTGTCTCTGACCAGTACAACCTGTAAGTTATTTGTGACCCCAGGGAGGTCTCCCCAGGGAGAATCAGCCAGGCAGGTCAGGCTGCAGTCATCTGCTTCAGCATTCTAATTCCTTGAGGCCACCTCAGCAGATGACTGTTCATCAGAAGAAACTGAAATGACAGCAAGGGAGGGGTGTGGGACATTGTCCTCTAGGTCCTAAAAGACTTTTATCTCATCGGATGTTAATGATTAAATTCCAACCCAATGACTAATTTCCAAGCCAATGACTAAATTTATCACTCTTAGAGGAAGCCACATTCCAAGAGTCAAGTGTAATGACAACTGTCACTTTTTAAACTCTAAATGATTGCCAAGTGGAAGCAAACACTGCTATGTGACTTTTCTGTGTTTTAATATGTATGTGTGTGTGTATATATATACATACAGGTGCTCACATACACATATGCAGAATCCTGAAAGGATACCCTTTCAGTTCTTTCAGAGACAGTACTTTAGACTGGTTCCTTCCAACTCTCTTGAAGGGAGTTGTTTTATTGTGGTTTTGAGCCAAAAGACACCACATGTAGAAAAGGAGTCCAGAGAGGCTGAGCTAATCTCTAATTAAGACATGAAATTTTCTTTCCCGCCTTAAAATGATCAGGAAGAAAACAGAAGTATATTGTGCTTAATATTCTAGCCCTTCCATTCTACAGTCACTATTTGTTTTCTTTCTTTCTTTTTCTTTTTTTTGGTCCTTTTGAGACAGGTCTCCCTGTAGCCCCAGCTGACCTGGAACTCACTACATAGACCAGGCTGGCCTTGAACTCATAGAGATCTACCTGCCTCTGCCTCCTGAGTGTTGGCAGACGTGTGCTATGCCACCATGCCTGGCTACAGTCACTATTTCTAGCATTAGTAAAAATGCCTTCTGTAAGCAATGGTCCTTGTGTGCATGAACTTGATGTATATCCTTTTGGATGGGTAACTTTAGATAAAGAATATTCCAGTGAGTTTTCAAGATTATGAACTAGGGAAATGACATGCATTGACTTTCAGCTCATTTACATTCTAGTTTCCTCTCAGCATGCAAGGCAGGTCAATATATTTTCATTAGTAGTAATGAAAACCAACCAATAAGTTAAAAAAAAAAAGCACACCAGTATTTGGCTTAGAGTTTAAAAAAACTCACACCTTTGAAACAAAGAAGGCATGTAAAATGTGTGGTTTCAAATTTAGCATTTTAGATACAGCACAAATTAAACTGTAAGAATAAATGGCCATGTCCCTTTTAGAGGTTCTTGTTCTAAGAAGAAATAATTTCTTTAGAAAAACCCTCTAGTTTCCTCTGCATTGATGCAGAATTAGTTAAAATTGAGCTAAGGCTTTCTTACACTTGAAGGAAGCAGGTAACCAAGTGCTCTCTATAAATTAAGGAATTTTAGTAATTTCACATGCTCAATAGACTGTGCTATTGGTGATACCCTTTCTTTTACCTCTGAGTTCACCCCAGAACCAGCTTCATTTGGAGTGGATATGCTAATATTTTCCTTTCTATCTTTATCGGTTTTCCTTTTGAAAGATTGCTACAGCTCATCTTATGACTAAGTTGTACTTAAAAACCACCAGAGGCTGCTTGGTGGTGCATTCCTGCAATACTAGCCCTATAGAGTCTGAGCCAGGAGGATCAAAAGTTCAAGGCCAACCTGGTCTACACAGCAAGTTGCAGTTCAACCTGGGCTATGTAGAGAGCAAGATGAAATCTCAAATGTACCCCTTCCAAAAAATTACTGGAAACTGTCATGGACTAGGGAGAATGGGGAGAAACTGGGCAATGGGTTACAGTTGGAGGAGACAGGAAGAACAGTTGCTGATGTTTTATTGCACAGTAGAGTGACTATAGTTAACAATGTGTGCTGCAAAACAGCTAGAAGGGAGGTTTTTAAAAGCTTTTACCACAAGGAAATGATAGACATACAATGTGATGCATATGCTATTTACACTTATTTACCATTACATACTGTATACATACGTCGAATTATCACATTGCATCTATAAATATGTAAACTACTATGTGCCAACTTAAAAGTTAACAGGTAAGGATGGGGACATAGTGGTAGACCACTTGCTGTTATGCACAAGGCCCTGGGTTCAAGCACCTAACACTACTAAAGAAAACAAAATGATCAACAACAAAAATGTTAGTTATTGATAATGAGAATGAAATAAAAGCTCTAATATGCCAGTGCTGTGGTTCCCTGGCTAGCCCATTTGACCATTACTGATTGCCTTAATTCTGGCTCCTGAGAACATTTGTAAGAAGATGAATGGGTAGACGGAAGATCCTCTTGGATCATAGAGTCACCCTTGTCATAGAGTCACTGCACATGCTAATCCAGGAGACAGTCAAGCTAAGCAGCTCCAGAACTTTTAGATCCTGCATCTGCTCATTCCCAAGCTCAGTGTGTCCATGTGTGCACAGTGAAGGGAGGAAGGACCATGGTGGGGGAAGTCAGGTCAAGTAGACAAGACAGGCAGTCTTCAAGTATTTTTAGATCGAAACAAAAATTTTATTCCAAACCCAACCATACCATAGATATATTAGTGCTGGGAGAAGGAGTGAGGAATGGAAAAGTCTGACTACCTCTTCCTCCTCAACCCTAAGTAGTTTCTGAGGGCTCCTCATGGACCCTGTGAGCCACAGAGTTTAGAAGCCATTGGGTTTCATGACACAGGCTTCCCTTCTATAAGAATAGCTCAGTAGCTCCTGAGCTTATTGGAACTTGCCTAGCAGCCCCCAAATTGCCTGCCCATTGGAAGATGCCTTTGCATTAAGTCTGGGTTAGTCTGAGTAAGGATCAACTTGTGAAACCTTTTCCATATCTCTACCTATTAATTAGGAAAGATAAGGGTATATACATGCCACATTTGACTGTGAGAGCTAGAGTTCAAGAATTAGACATATCTAGCACAGTGCCTGGTCTATAGGTTGTACTAGATAAAAGGTCTCTTCTGTGATTTTATTTTTCTATCTTTTGTTCAAAATAATACTGGACATACAGTACCATGTTAGTAAATGTCAAAAACATACCTATTTGCTGATTCTCAGGAATTGTCCAACATGACCTTCCTAAGTTACAAGTGCCTGAAGGCACAGACGAAGTCTGCAGCATCCAAATCAGTGAACATCTACTGAATGCCTGCTTTGTGCAGGGCCCTAGTCCCATTGGATACAAAGGCTTTTACAATGTTCAGTCTCCAATAGGGAAGGACAAATGACCAGAGCAAAACAAAGCAGGGCAGTAGGCACTCCAGCAGAGATAAGTGTTAACTCTACACATAGAATGGGAGGAGAGTTAAGGCTAGAGACCTCAGTCAAAGAAGGTCTTCCCCAGTATAACAGTGGACCATGAAGAATATATTGAACAGAGCCAGAGCTAGTCAAGGAAAGTGGGGATGCACCTACCAGGCAGCAAAACCCCCTGTGATAACATAGGGGCAATGGGTGGTGGGAATGGTAGCAGGGGTACGTGTGGGGAGGTACAAGCAATTCAGTAAGAAGGAGAGGATCAGGGATCACAGGGACATGGAGAGAGACTAGATGGAAGGCAAAGTCCAAATCTCAAGTTATTTCTAAAATACTATGAGGGCTGCATTTCATCCTAAAACTTAGGGGAATCTCTGAAGGGTGTTAAACAGGATCAAGGTCACAATAGAAGATAATGTAGTGACAAACAGACCCCAAAATAAAAAGCAGTCCGCTCCCTTCCTAACAGTCTAATGTGGTGCTCTGCCAGGTACCTTTGTGTACAGTGCAAACTACATAGCTGCAGGATAGTAACCCAAGACAGAAGACTAGATCAATCAATCCCTGACTGCATGGAGCCTGGCCCAGTGACTTGTGATACTGTATATAATAATTAGAGGCTAGCTCCTAATGATTACCCTTTGTGTCTCACTCTAAGTGGCCAGTCTTAGGAAGCAGAAATGAGAGTATAGAATTTACTGCTAACAAGATAGTGGGCTGCCCACCTCCTATCTAATTAAATATAATCCCACACAAATGGCCCAGGAGACAAGACCAGCTAATTGCTCTCAACTGTTATAAAGGGACCTAATTCCCTGGTATTTCTCTCTCTCTCTTTCTCTCTTTCTCTCTCTCTCTCTCTCTCTCTCTCTCTCTCTCTCTCTCTCTCTCTCAATTTTCCTAATGTGTTTCTCTCTACAGTGGGTATTATACGTTAATACTTTTCTATCAATTCTGGTCTGGTAAATCCTTTTTTAAAAAATTTTTATTTATTATTTTTATTTTATGTGTATGTATTTGCCTACATGTAAGTAAGTGCACCCGTGTCATGCAATGCACACGGAGATCAGAAGAGGCTGTCAGATCCCCTGGGACTGAAGTTACCAACAGTTGTTAGCTGCCATGTGGGTGCTGGAATTTGAACCCAGGTCTTCTGCAAGAACAACCAGTGTTCTTAACTGCTGAGCCATCTTTCCAGCCCCTGGTAAATCCTTTTACCCCACATCTTGAACTTGTTGTTCCTAGTTCCTGGTATAACAGATACATAAGAGGCAAGGGTAGAGCCTCAGCCAACCAGCAGGGTAAGGGAAATTTGCTTGGATTAGAAACAGGAGCTTCTTGGAATGGATGCAGTTCTGAGCTAGGGTTCACTGCAAAGGAGGAGGGTAGATTGGATTTTTGCCTCCATCCATCCTGCTCAGCTAGGTGCTTTTCTGGAACTGTAGGACAGTCACCTAGAGCAGAAGACTAGATCCACAGATTTTTCCAACAAAGGCCACAAAATGAAAAGAAAGCTATGACTAGAAAAGATGGAAGTCTTGGCCATGGATTAAGATAGAAGGAATCATGGGTATAGGCAACCCTGGCTACTGGGCTTGATTGGGTGTGCAGTGGTCTCAGGCTTGAGGGTGAAAACCTAGGCATACTTTGTTAATACGCCAGTTTCATTGAGGGAGTACCTGCTTTGAACAAAAGCTGACAAAGCTTGTTTTGAACATAACTTTGGTTCTAAGGGACATCTTGGAGGAAGCAAACACCTAAAAATCTGTCACATGTATGTTGGAGCACAATTAAGACTTGTTTAGTAGTATACATATGCAAGTCGTCAATATGCAAGGGAGCTGATGTTGGAAGATCATTCCAGAAAATGAGTAGAATCAAATATTTCATTTCAGTTAAAAAATTTTTTGTTATTATTGACAATGTCTTCAGTGAATCATTGATGGAACAAATGATCAGCTAATTACCTTTCTTGCTGTCTGACTTTTTTAATTGAAATTTTTTTTAATGTCTGGAGTGGCAGTTCTTCCATTTGAAAAATTGTTCTTGAGCTTCCTTTCAGAGGAACAACTGATTTCCCATCAAATCCTGTTAAACATTAGCTTTGGCCAAACATTTATAAATTGTTTCTGGAAATGTGCCTTTGTAGTTTTAAATATGACCTGTGGTTGTGCTAGAGTGAACCTGAGGACTTTGGCATTCAGCACAGCAGGAGCTGCTATGTGTTTCTGGCTGAATCTGAATTTGAAATAGGAAAACAGAAATAGCTCACTGAACAGAAGTGAAGCATGACCACGAATTGCAGAATATTCAGGCAAAATTGTATTTTGAGAGCAAGTGCACTTTTCTATCACCTCCGATTAGAATAAATGCAAGAAGGCAGCTGAACTTGGAAACACACAGTATCTGGACTTGGAACTGCAAGGTGATACCACCTCCTCTGTATGTGAGAAAACAGCTCTGCTAAACCACATCTCAGCAGATTCCTAGGTAAGATTTCTGGAGATGTAAACCTCCAAGGACACCGGAATCCTTGTTCTAGCAATACAGCCGTGATGATAACAAGCAACAGAACTTCAGTTATCTTTAATGAATTTATTTGTTCTATCTACCAATATTTACCAACTGCTGTGATTTCTGTCATTCTAGCGACCACTGGATTAGACTTCAGGATTTCCTATGCCCTGACCCTCATTTGCATATATATTCCAAGAATACCATTTTCCTTGTCTGATGAGGTTTTCCCATATGTATCTAGTACAAATGAGATGTATCATTGATTTATATATAATAAGCTCACACATTTAAGAGAAAAACTACCCTGTGCTTGTAGCTGAGGGAAGATATTCTAAGGAGACACTTGTGCCCCTCCATTTGACTATCAGACTGTTAAGACAATGGACCAAGAAATTAGAATTTCTCCAGGAGTCTTATGTTAGGAAAAGGGAAAGACTGGGGCTCTGGTACCAGCCAGAGGAGAAGCTTGTCTCCCGGGAAGAGATTTTCAGTTCAGATAACTCTGTTTGTGACACCACCTTACTAAGCTGACTAGAGCTGAGGCAATGGTGGGCCAGTGATAGGCAGGGCCATTGCTTAGTCATGCATACCTCCTGCCTTGTGCTTAAACCTAAACCTCATGTCAGTCACCATGGAGATGGTCTTGTGGGTGACTGGATCTCTTTATTTGTTCTTCCCAATGTAGCCACATTGAATAAATCACTGTTTTTCACTGTTTCTCTCTCTCTCTTTCTCTCTCTGTGGGGTGTGTGTGTGTGTGTGTGTGTGTGTGTGTGTGTGTGATATACGTACATATGTGTGCATGTGGATGTGTGCATGTATGTGTGCAGGTATGCAGACATATGTGTGAGAGTGAATGTGGAGGCTGGAGGTCATGTCAGATGTCTTCCTCAATCTCTTTCCACCTTATTTTTTGAGATAGATCTCTCACTGAACCTGGAGTTTACCAATCCAGCAAGGCTGACTGGCCATTGAGCCCTGGAGATCCGCCTGTCTCTGTGTTGCTAGTGCTGGGATTACAGGTATGAGCTGCTGTGCCCAGCTTTGTTACATGGGTGCTATAAGTCTTCATACTTGCAGGCAAGCACTTTACTGACTGGCCTATCTGCTCAGTCCCCCATTTGTCTCTTTAGTTGGTCTCCTGAGGACAGGTACTTTAACCTAGCATCTTAGGGCTAGCAGGGCCAAGGCTCTGACCCTAACAACTCAGGTAGCAAGTCTACTTCTGGGTAGCCAAATGACTAGCCTTTTGTTTGTTTTCTACTTTGATTTTTGTTTATTTTGGTCTTAACTTAAAAACACATTTATTTATGGGGTAGGAGGCTCAAGTGTGCTGCAACATGTGTGTGCAGGTCAAAGGACACCTTTCAGGATGAGTTATCTCTTTTTCCTCCCATCATGTGGGTTGCAGTGATTCAGCCTAAGTTGTCAAGCTTGGTCTCAAGCCCCTTTACCTACTGATCCATTTCACCAGCCCCATTTTATTTTTTGAGATAGGATCTCACTACTTAGTCCAGCCTAGCCTAGAACTTGCAATCCTCCTGCCTCAGTGTCCTAAGTGCTAGGATTATAGGTGTGCACCATTATATCAGCCAAGAACTAGGCTTTTATGTTACATATAACTAGAGAAGTAATTTCTGAATTCATGAAATGGGGAGAGTTAGTAAAGGCAATGCTGGGTACACTGCAACAACTAATCCTTGTGGAGTGAGTTGTTTTGTTGAGACAGTTCAAGCATAGTAGGAAGACGTAGTGACCTCCCAATCCCATTACTCCCACTGGATAGAAATGACCCTGTCCTAGAAAATGAAACAGCCTCTGCCTCTGCTGACTCATAGAAATAAGGCCTAAAAATATACAATGTGGAACATATCCATACGTTAATAAAGTGTTTATGCCCACTAGGAAATAGTTCTCTGGGACTACACCCCCCAGGTAACCTGCATAATGAAACAGCTGATCAAGCTCAGGATACTGGGCAGCTCAAACAGGAGGGAAACTGCAAATGGGCATTAATCAGGAACCAGTATAAAGTGCCTCAGCTGTGGCATCTTGGCTGGGGGGGATGATTTAGTTATACCAGCTTAGCATTGTAAATGTTTAGGAAAGGGCCTGTCACATAAGTGATTTACTATACACCATTTTGAGGGAGGTATCTTTGTAAAACACTATATCCATTCTTTGCATTTATGCTACGTGCTTTCTCTTTTGAAGGCAGGGTCTCCCTATAGTCCCAGGCTGGCCTCAGTCTCACAGGGATCTGCCTGCCTCTGCCTCTCGAGTGCTGGTGTGTTTCACCTCACCTGGCTGCTACGCAGTCTTTAACCCAGAAATGTGCTTGCAATTTTATTGATCAGCAGCACCCTGTAGATTTTCATATTCTAAGTTCTGGTCCATAAAGAAATAAAATCATGAAGGGAGATGTCTTTAGCTGCTCAAGGGTTCCTTCCTCCTGGGCATGTTGCCCCTGGAGAATGTGGGGATGGAGGCTTTCGCCCTTTGAGAGAGAGGGTGGTGGTCCTAGGAAGCAACTTCAAGAGAGAACAGGTAAGAAGCCGAGGCTCTGTATGAAGTAAGTAGAAATCACAGGGTGAAGCTATGGAAGGAGCTGGGTGAGTATAAAGCAAGATGACAGCCAGGAGCACTGGCTCGAAGCCTGCCAGCCACTGGAGTCCCTTCAGCATTGTATCTTCTGCTTTCTGTCTTCATAGCTCTCTACCTGGCGTGATTTTGAAGTCTTGGACATAGACTAATGAAGACCAGATGACTGCCATGTGGGTCACCTACATGGCTAATCTGTGTACAGATTCTTCCTGATTTGTAGAAAGAAAGTGCTTTCTAATCTAAGCAATGAGTTGAATTTGTAGAATAGTTAACTGGTCTTACTTAAAAATAATTTTTTTGAGACTAATAACAATTTTTTCTTATAGAAGAAATACTGTCCCAGGTGGGTCCTCCCTTTCCTCTTTCAGGGAATCAGGCAGTTTATTAGGATGGAAATATCTCACATTTAAACTTTTATTTTGCTTTAGTTCCATTTGACAAAACTGTTTTTCTTCATAAAAAGTCCACTTGAGACTGGGCGTGGTGGCGCATGCCTTTAATCCCAGCACTCAGGAGGCAGAGGCAGGTGGATCTCTATGAGTTCAAAGCCAGCCTGGTCTACATAGTGAGTTCCAGGCCAGCTGGGGCTACAGGGAGACCCTGCCTCAAAATAAATAAATAAATTTAAAAAGTCCATTTGCGCTCTCCCAGTCATTTGTCCTTCCTGATGAAGCTAATGTTCTCCTTTGGGCTTGACTTTCTAATGGAGAATGCAACTGACTCGTGTAGTTTTCATATGTCATGTATAAATTCTCCTCCCTCTCTCTTTCTCTAGTTTTCTCCTTCCCTCCCCGACTTGCTCTGGGGATTGAACCCAAGGTCTTATACATTCTGGAAAAGCACTCTACCACTGAGCTTACACCCCCAACCTTACAATATTTTAAAATTAAAAGTTTCCTTTAAAAACATCGCAATCTCCCCACATGATGGCTTTAGAGTGTGTACTGTACAGATGTCCGCAGTAGGGAAAAGGCCTGAAGGACCCCGAAAAGCCAGAACCATTCTCAGGTTTTCTCATTTTAAACAGCCCTGGAATAGTGCTAAACTCAGGAATAAGTGGCTTGACTTAGCCTTCCTAAGCAGAATCCCTTCCTATCGTTTTTTAATTTTTATGGTATCCAGTTGATAAATGTGCAATAAAAGTTCGTTCTTCAAACCAATTTCTCAAGTACCCAAGTATAACGCTGTGTTAAGAAAGCAGGGCAGTGTGTAATCACGCCTCTGGTCACACCACATGCTGAGACTGCGCACAAAATGTGCATTTGTACCTTTGCTGAAGAACGGATGTGATCTGCTTGCAGAAATTCTCTCCATTTTGAGCAAACTCCTTCAGGCTCTTGTACACTTTATTGTACTGGGAAAAAAAAGAGCAAGAAACTTATGAGCAGCCATAATTCAGAATGCAGTTCTGGTGACCTCAGTCACAAATAACTGCATCTACGGCATGCACACATTTTGCGATGATGTCTTGAATAAAGATCAGATCTCTAGCTAGATATGAGAAATCTTACGGAATTGTTCAAAAAGAAAACAGGTCTATCTGTTTCTGTCCTAGGTCAAATACAAGCAATCCAGCTGTAGGTACACTTGGAATCTAGTTTGCTGGCCTCCTTATTGTTCCCAGGAAGGTCAAAAGTACAGTCTGTAGGGTACCATATTATCACTTTGTGTCCCGCCACCCTGAACACACCAACTCCTAACTAATACTTCTGGGTTTATGATGAATGATGAATCATTAAAGTGAGCTTTTTTTTTGTTTCTTTGTTTGCTGATCTGAAATCAGAAACACGTCAAAATCCAAAGTTTTTTGAGCTCTGATTTCATACCATAAATAGAAATTTTCATTCTTGATGTTAAATGACAGGTCTCAGTTAAAACACAGACATGGAGGCACCAAAGAGATGGCTCAGCAGTTAAGAGCACCAGCTGCTCTTGTAGAAGGGTCAAGTTCAAGTGTTAGCACCCACACATGGCTAACAGCTATCCATAACTCCAGTTCCAGGGGATCCGACACCCTCTTCTGTCCTCCTCGGGCATTGCATGACACGGGTGCACTTACATTTGGGCAGACATAACACTCATACACACAAAATAAAAACAAAATTAAAAGAAACCCCAGAGGCACGGTAAAAATGTTGTATAAGATCATCTTCAGGGTATGTGTATAAGGCATATATGAAATATAAATATATTTCATGTTTAAACTTAGGTCCCATTTCTAAGGTGCCTCATTGTGCATTCACAAATATTCCAAAATCTAAAACAACCTTCAAATATGGGATATTTCTGGTTTTAAGCATTTTGGATAAGAAATTCTTAGCCTGTAGTACCAAACAGCTGTATTGGAACTTCCTAGAATACAAGGAGGGCAGTGAGAGTGCAGAAATTTTTACAAGGAATTTTTTAGCTACTAAAGCAGGTTGCAAGCTCCTGGGCTAAGTGTTTGTACATGGGGGGGTGTCAGACAGGGAGCAGGGTGAGGACCACAGGCTGAAGCAGGCTGGAGAGGCTGCACCAGCACAACTCTGGCCCACAGATGCCCATGAGCATGTGGCCCAGTGTAGCCAGATCTTCCACTTTGTAAGAAGTAGCAAACAATTCATAAACTTTAATTCTCCCTGCACCTGTGGTGGGGGTCCAGTTTGTAGCCCTTGTCTTGAAGAAGAAATGATCCCTTGCTAAGAGTTATAAGAACCTAGCTTTCTGGGTTTTATTTCCAATCAAACTAACTTGGCTTCTCTGAATGGTACAAGACCATTCAGACCTTCCTCCCTTTGAGTATGCTGGGAGAGTTTTGGTGCATGTAATATGGTGAGAAGTCCTACAAAAATAACTTTCCTCAGCTTCGTTGTTTATTCCTACGTGACTTAAACACTTTCACTACATTCTTCTGTAAATCTTTTATTTATTTTCTTATAACACCAAAAAGAAAAAAAAAAAATCCCACAAAACCCCCCAGTACCAGGAGAGGACAATGTAGCAGTGTTTAGCAGTATCTACACACCTCTAATGAAGCTGAGCTCTGCCTTCCTCCCTCATAAGTGCAGGTATGGCTGAATGCTGCCCAGAGAAATGTGGCAGAAAACCCTGAGCAGGACTCCTTTTCCTCTTTCCTGCCTCCTGGACTTGGAAGTGATGGGCCTTGCTGTGATGTGGTATCGACATTGGATACCATTAACTGAGCTCACCGAGTAGAAAGAGGTGAGGAGCCAGAGTCCCTAGTGGGTGTGGAGGCCAACATGTAAGCCTTCAGCTCTCTACTTTCAGACTTACTGTAATTGTAAGAGGAAACACAATGGCAATTTTAATTTTATTTATTATTCTGTATGTATATGATGTATGTGTGTGAGGATGTCATATATGTGGAAGTCAGAGGACAATTTTGTGGAATCGATTCTCTCCTTCCACCCTGGATTCTGGGAATTGACCTCAGGTTTCAGGCTTACACACTAACTGTGGCAAACACTTTTACTTTCAGAGACATCTATCTCACTGGCTGTACAATGGTGTTTTTTTAAAGACTTTAATTTAGGATTTTTAAAAATGCAACTTTAACATGGTTCTAACTCAGTCTTAACTACTGATATAATTTATGGAACATTTTATGTTTCATAAGATTGTAGTCATATCGAAAGTTATGACACATGCTATGTACGCTACTGGGTTACGGAGACATTAAATTTTTATTCTGTTCTTTCTGAGCAATTATTTTTTTCCTTTTCATAATTTCTTTGGATATTTTTGGATATTTACTCTCCCATGTGAACATTTATTTAATTGAAAGTTTTTAAAAATCCCTGTTAGAATCCTAATTAAAATTGTAGTGTGTGTGTGTGTCTGTGTGTGTGTGTGTGTGTGTGTGTGTGAATTAGAAGAAATGGGCTTTTAAAAATGGTATTTAGACTTTCCATCCAAGAACACAGTGAAAGTCTTTTCATTTGTTCAAATCTTTTTTCATGTTCAATAAAATTTTATGATATTCTTTATAGGTCCTGTGGCTTTCTTATTTGATTTATTTAGAAATATCTCCCAGTGTCAAGATAAGTATTTTTATTGTTTCTCCCCCCAGTTTATAGCAAAGCAGAAAAGAAGACTCAACAAGAGTTGAAACCGTGCAGGCAGGGGCAAGCTAGATTGGGATGCCTGCTTGCAGACAAGTTTCCACATAACACTGCAGCTGGGTCTGGGTCTGAGGAAACACAGTAGAGAGCAGGATTGGAGGGATCAGCCTTCAGAATAGGAGCGAGGAAAAGAGGTCGATCATGGAGCAGAAGGAAAGACTCCCAGGATGAAATGCCCTAAGGAAGTGTCCCACCAGCTTACCATCACTGATCACAGCTTTCACTCAACAGCCCTGGGGAGAGAATAGGAGTCATGGGAGCATAGAGAGACCTTCCTTATAACATATAAGTAGACCATTAAAATTTTTTCTAGGGCCAGGCATGGTGGAGCACGCCTTTGATCCCAGCACTTAGGAGGCAGAAACAGGCAGATCTCTGTGAGATAGAGGCCAGCCTGGTCTCCATAGTGAGTCTAGGCCAGTTGGGGCTACAGGGAGATAATGTCTTAAAAAGAGAGAAAAAAAATTCTTGCGTGTGTGTTGGGCTGCTGTGTTATTGCATTCTCCAATTTATTAACCACGGAAATGCCGTAAGATGTCTTTTATAATGTCTCCCTTAGACAAATTTTAGGAGACCAGGACATTGTGCAGGTTTAAAAACTTGTGGTTGAAAACTCAACTGTCTTCAGTTACAGTGATGGAGCCTGTGGCAAAGCAAAGAATACCTGTTACCTTTACCCTCTTCAAAAGCACTCAAACTCAGCTTGTAGAGTAGGGGGGCTGCTCAAGTAAAGCACAGTTTAAAGCTTCTGTTGACCCTTGGGCTGCCAGTTCTAGAATTTAGAAGATGATCCTTTGTCATTTAAGAATTAAATACATCATATTTTTTTCACATTATGGCATGCATAGAAAATCTTTGAATCAGAACAGAGTGGTAAATGGAAAAAGTTGTTTGAGGTAGAGAAATGGTCAATGGTTCTTCTACCTCAGGCATTCGCTGTCCATTCAAAGGTCTGAGGCAACCCATTTCCTGAACTCCATTGTGCCCAGCACATCATATTGTTGTTAAATTTAATGATCAGATAAGAGAGGGATACTCTGCTTATCAGCACTGGATAAAATCTTTACCTTTGAACCTATGTCCAATGTGCTGAAAACTTCCTAACATCCCTGATCCAGATTGAGATAAAGGTGACATCCATAAACAAAAATGATGGTAAGACTATTTCTATTATCTCAGCTTAATTCCTTTTTTAGAATCAACGGTCCTGTGTCTTTCATCAGGTACCATCTACTCAGATTTGAAAACAAAAGTTGTTGAAAGTAGACTTGCCTAAAAGCCAAAGCTGATCCCACGACTACCTAGGCTCGTGTGTGTGTGTGTGTGTGTGTGTGTGTGTGTGTGTGTGTGTGGAAGGCTGTGATGATGGTTGAAATTCTGTCTGTCTGTGTCAGTGTGTCTGTTTGTACATGTGTGTATAATCAGAAAAGCCCAGACCACATCTGCTTTGAGGGGTGAAAGATCTTCACTTTGGTTTTGGTTCCACTGGTCCTGTCTCACTTCTCCTTCCCACCCACTCCTGTTTATCAGAGGGGACTTTCTATGGGGCACAGTACAGACACCACTGAAGTCCAAACCCTTACTCATAGTTAAGGACCAAAGAGTTGAATATAACCTCATTAAATTATGGAGAAAATTATGATTAGAAATGTCAGGTAAGTAAATCAACTAAAGAATCCATTAGAACCAAATGTTTTCATATAGATAATCAGTATAATCAGATTAAACTACTTGGAGAGCTGTTAAAAGTAGTACAGAGCCAGGTGTGGTGGCGCACACCTTTAATCCCAGCACTCGGGAGGCAGAGGCAGGTGGATCTCGGTGAGTTCAAGGCCAGCCTGGTCTACATAGTGAGTTCCAGGCCAGGAAGACCCTGTCTCAAAATGACCCCCCCCCCAAAAAAAGTAGTACAGGTGGCTTCTTAATGTCATCAAGCAGCAAAAAACAGAGAAGCGTTTATTCTTATCAAAATCATGTGCAAAATCAACTTTGGGTGTCTTTTCCCACCCACTGAGCTTTCAAATATCCCATCCCCTTTCAAATGTGCATTCCAGGAAATAACTTAAAATTGATTTAAAATTGATTTTATATGTCTATGTGAATTTATTTGAACATACTCTTTCTTTCCGGGACCATTAATTACTAAGAAGAAAATAAGGAATTTGTATTCTCTTGATAAAGAATTTAAATAGTCTGGTGGTAGACAGACTATTTAGGAGATTTCAGAGTCCTTAAAAATTCCTTCATATTGATAACTGATCTACACAGACGTGCCCTGTTCAGAATGTTAAAAAAAGGTAAATTCAATTATTATAGAAAAAATATATTTACTCTAGATGCACATGTGGACTTTTTTCTTAATATAACAGTGACCCTCACAGTGCTAAGTAAGCTATGGTATGATACCCCTCTTGAACTTCACTCGATAAGCTTTTGCCCATGTCAAACATGGGGCTACGGAGTTCATGTGGTTCATGGGGGAGGGTGATATTTCAAAGCAATTAATTAAGGGGTTATAGGTATTTGTTAGTGATCTGTTAATTATTTGATTAAATTAAAATCCTGAGTCAGACTTTCATAAATTATGGAAAAACAGAGCAACAAAAAGCATTCCAATATTCTGTCTCCTCTTATTTGACAGATGAAAAAACAGCGACCAAAGAAATGCAAAATGGAAGTTACAATCTCACTGACCACAGAACATCCACCTGCCTTTTTCCATCTCTTGATGGATCAGAGTCTTTTAGGAGCTATTGAACACGGCACTGGTGTCTTCTAAGTTAATGCTAGTTATACCTGGTGACTCAGGCTGATTCACCAAGATAGGAAGTTCAGACTGGCATCTAAGCCAAGACACTAACCCAAGGAGCAGCCTGGTGCTATTTTGGCAGCTGATGCCACGAGGGAAGGGGCTGATGGTATAGAAACTCAAGGCTTATTTTTCAGGCTACTACCTGTTTCTTTATGAGAAACTAGAAACAAAGTCTTGGTGATAGCTTGTAACAAAAAACATATTTGATTCCTATGGTCTTCTTTCATAAGAAGGTGGAAAGTGGTGCTTTGTTTTTTTGTGATTGGGTTATTTCCTTTGGTGACAATTTGATTCCTATCTACTTCCTTGCACATGGATTTGAAGATTTCTCCTGGCATAATTTTAGGTTTAGACACCAAGCTCACAGGCATTAAGGCTCAGAGCCAATTTTTCCTTTCCAGAAATAGAACTAAAAAAAAAAACTTTTAAAATAAGCTCCATAACCTCCAACACTCTCACAATTATTTAAGATCCACACACAGTACTTAGGCATGCTTTATCCTACACTGGTGATAATAATGTGAAAGTAGATGCTGACCTGACTCTGAGGTTGAAGGGCCCAGATAGCAGCCCGTTTTCTCACTGGAGCAAGATCTAAGAGAGATTTTTGAAGTTTTGTACCAGGCTTGCCCCACTTTCATTGTTTCGCAAAACCTGGTTTACCTAGTATTCTATTTTAAATGTTTAAAGCAAAATAATACAGAATTATAAAAAACTATATATATATGTATTTATAGAAACCTATTTCAAGCTTGTGCTATTATGTATTAATATGATAAATAATCTTAAGAATTACCAAAATATGTATGTGACTGAGAATAAATAATAGCTCATGATATCTTCAACAACACTGTTGTATAAAAATGTCTGTGGTGTTTATTGTTTAATATTCATAGACACTGTTAGTAGTGTCCGATATTCAGAGATGAAAGAAATTCTGCATTTCAATCAGAAATGATGTAAATACAAATGTTCTTCCCATATATCTGCTTACATGTTTTCTTTCTCTGAGTTTGCTCTTGGCCCACTGGGGTTGATACATGAATCCATTGGTGTGGACAAGTTAAGAACAGTAAATGAAACTAATGAATTGTGCTCTGGGCAGCACAAAGGGCTAATGGGAGAGGACACTGGGCAGGTGGTGAAAGCTTTGGGTTCTCTTTAAAAACTGCTATTTTTTGAAGCATTCATTTGCAATCTATGTCCTTGTTTTTAATCATGTTCCCAAACTGTAGCCTCCTTTTCACAGAGCATTGTTCCCCCCCAAGTACAAGCTGGTATTGTACCAGGAAGTCAACTTGAACACTTGATAAAGAAGAAACAATTGCAAATAAATAAATATTCTGTGACTTTAGAGAGTTTAGAAATTCAGGCTGAAGGGATATCCGCCTCCTCTTGACTCCCGGATACCTTTGGTGACAATGGGCCCACAGACATGACCTTCAGGGACAAGGATAAGCATCCTTGGGGCAGTGCTCAGAATAGGGTAAGGCATCCCAGGGAGCAGGTTTTGAACTGCCACAGAGGTGAAGGACTGGGGCTGCTCAGAAGAAAACATTTCTCCCAGGTCCTGACCTGAAGATAAGCTTTACTGCCTGTAAGAAGGGTGATAGGATTTAATCCCTTTTTTTTCTTCTTTGCTATTTATTTGTTTTGTTTTTTTTGAGATAGGGTCTCCCTGTAGCCTCAGCTGGCCTGGAACTTGCTATGAATACCAGGATGGCCTCAATTGCACAGAAATCCATCTGCCTCTGCCTCCAGAGTGCTGGGATTAAAGGTGTGCACCACTATGCCTAATTTCCAAAGGTCTCATGTAGTCCAGGCTAGCCACAATCTCACAAAGATCCACCTGCCTCTATCTTCCTAATGCTGGGATTAAAGGTGTATGCCACCATGCCAGGACCTTCCTCTCTTCTTTCCTCTTTAAAAACTTAGCTGGTTGTGCACCCCCTGCCCCGGCTATTATACTCTCTTGACATTGACTTTCCTCTTTAATGATCTAAAGTGCCAAGTTTGAGCCTCAATTTATCCCATCCCTGTCCCACCCTACTACCTCTGCATAGTACAAAAACAACACCAGATGTCCATGTTGAGATGAGTGGATTTAACAGTCTAATAGGGAGCAAACTCAAGGAGAGAAAAACCAACTTCCCTAAAAAGTTATTCATAATAACCCAATGACTGAGGCTAAAGTGACAAAGGGGGCCATTTCACTCTTAGCATCTGTATGCAAGCATAGTGTTGGAATTTTCTTTTACACTAAGCGCATCATATTTTTTGTTTCAAAAAGTAAAATTAGGTGGAGCTGGCTACTACCTTGATACCATGAATCTTCCTAGGCTTTTAGGGATTCACCTCACTTAGGCCATGTGTTCTTAGAGCTCATTTTGTGGCACAGCACCTAGTTTCATCTCTTCTGAGTCCATGGTTTCCTTAACCCTCCTGACAAACAGACAGGAAAGCAGTAATCCTTTGCTGATCTTTGTCTTTATGGCTTCATTACAGACCCCATTTATCTGTCTCTCCACAGGGTTGTTTTTTTAATAAAATACATTCAAGATGACAATTCATGGTTTCGGAGGTCGTCAATTTTATCTTTTCAGCATCACTTATTGTGGTAAGACACTGACAATCTTTGATTACATTATTTTTGAAATAAACATGCCTACCCTTTATTTTAGCTATGTCTTGTCTTCTAAATAAAATTTCTGCTAACTGCTAATGACCTTGCAGTATCTTTGGACTTTTGACCAGTTTTCTATTTGGGGGACTGTTTTCAGGATTGGAGCAAGGCTATTGGTAAACCTCCTACAAGGCTGACAAAATAGGAGTCTGTTCTGTGTCTTGCAGGCCTTGGGATCTTGACTCTAAGTCATTTGATTAAAAAGAAACAAAAAGCGAAAACCTTCCTGCCTGACTTCATTCTCCAAGCCAAAAATCGGCTGTAGACATTGTGTGTTTTTGTATCTACTCCACACACGATATTGGCACCCACTGGTGTGTGCTTTAAGACTGCTTCGTAAACAGCTACCATCTGGATTCAAATAGGATGTTCTATTCTCAAACCTTCTCCATGAATTTCAGAATAAAGTATAACAATGACTGTCATGTCTTATTGAGGGCTCTATTTTAAACTGAACCAAAGAAAAACCACAGACTTTTGTACCACAGCCAACAGCTAAACATGTTTAGTTTCTGAACAGCTCAAATTTCTGAATTTAAAAATCCATTAATCTGTAAATCACCCCCACCAGCATACGCACGCAGGCACATAAACTACACTGGTTTACTCACCGAGCAATTTGTCAGTGGGTCCCTCATGTCGAAATGCTGTTTGCTTTTGTCCTTTACCTACGCTCTAGCATTCTGGGTGCTGCAATCAAGGTTGGGTGTGTCCTGGACTTCCGGGATTCAAAGGGCTTAGAGTACGTCAGTCCTTGTCAAACACACCAAGGAGGAAGTCCCAGTCCTGGACTTTCATCCAGTTTGTTTCCTGAAAAAGCAAAGAACAACTCTGGGTCAAAAGAGCCAGCAGGAGATGGTGAGAAAGTCTTCTGCAAACACTCCCAGGGCGGGACACTGAGGCTTGGAGGGCGTGGCCTTGAGAAGGCCCAGAAACTGTAGAGTGTCCCCATGATCTGGGTTTCCAGAACGATGGCAGGAACTCACATTCTCTCTGCTTGCTGGACCAACCATAGCTCGTATTTTCTGTGTTTTATACTGCTCTGACTTTTGGGACCTATGCAAGCTGGGTAGGTACAATGGTTTATGTTGTTAACTTGACAGGATCTCAGTCACCTAGGAGATAAACTTCTGGGCATGTCTATGAGGGAGTTTCTGGATTGGGTTAATTGACATGGGAAGACTCACCATAAATGTGAGCAGTACCAGCTCATGAGCTGGGGTCCTAGACTGAATAAAAAGGAGAAAGGGAGCTGAACCCCAACAGTTGTCTCTTTGTGTCTTGACTGCAGATACGCGACCAGTTGCCCTCAAGCACCTGCTGTTGAGCCCTCTCTGCTATGATGGACTGTACCTCAAACTATAAGCCAAAACAAATTCTTCCTCCCTTAAGCTGGTTTCTTCAGGTATTTTGTTGCAGCAACAGGGAAAGTAACTAGTATAGTAGGCTAGTTCCTAGTGATGACAAATGTCTGTAATCATGTCTTCGACATGTGAAACAACCACCCAGCTTCCAAGCTCTCATGGCATGCCAACCCAATATTTCTCCTACCCTAACTCATTCAGGGCCAGCCAGTACCAAACAGCCAGAGATTTATAGGACTGTTAACACCCAAATGTCCAGAACAGGCTCTCAGGAAGCAGGCTATTCATGAACCCCCTCTCAGGACCTAACTGAACCTCTCAGCCCAGCAGGACCAAAAAGCTAAGTTGTCAGTTTAAGCCTATTCTTGGCTTAAGTTTTCATAACTCAGAATGGTAGGCAGAGCTGGAAATCTTCCATTGGTGACATATTTTGCTATTGCTTTTCCTACACCTGTTTCCAGTTGTCAGTTCTTAGATTTCTAAACTGATCTTGGTTCCTAAGACAGCCAAGACTCTCAGTCAAAATGGGGGGGATTGGCTTCCCCTGCCAGTTTGTCTAAGGAATGTCATCACACTAAGCATATTGTGGTCTTTGTGGTAGGACTGCAGATGATGGGGCATCCCTGCTTCCCACCTTGAACCTTGCCCAGAAGTGGACTGGTCCTTCCCTTATGCCTCTGGACATTTGCTAAGGAGAAGTATCTCCACCTTGCTCTAGTATCCTCCTCCCAGACTCTTGTAAGCTCAACAGGGTGTCCTGGCTGAATCCAAATCAAAACTTAGAGTTTGGTTATTTATTCAACTTCTCAAAGGGACATTTGACTCTGCAAAAACGTCAGAAAGAACACTGTGTCTTTTTTGGGGAGATCTTTTTGAGACAGGATCTCCCTGTAGCCCCAGCTGGCCTGGAACTCACTATGTAAACCAGGCTGGTCTTGAACTTGTAGAGATCCACCTGCCTTTGCCTCCCAGAGTGTTGGGATTGAAGGCGTGCACCACCACACCCTGGCACATTGTGTCATTTATTTCTTATCATAGTAATCCTGTGTAAAAACAAAATGCATGAGCTTCAAATAACACAAGATTTTTACATTGACAAATCTTCATGTTAGTTTGTGGTACTCAGGCTTTCACTGGGCTCACTCACATAGGAGCAGACCAATCATTGATGCAGCTCTGCTGGTCCTGGCAGGGCCTAGTACAGTAACTCTCCTGGCCTCTGCTGGGCAGGTGACTAACTGTGGGGTAGCTGTTGGCTAAGGCTGTTTTTTATTAGCCAATAACCTAAGCCTCCTACAGGAGAGGAGCAGAGTAGAGAGAGTTAGCAGAGAACTCAAGATTTCCTGAGGTGTAGAGTTAGAATGAACACACCTACCCCTATCACGTTAGCCATGTCCACCCGAGCATAGCCACCACAGGCCCACCCAAATTGAAGGGTGTAGAGTGGAATGTCCCTTTGCAAGAGGCTAGACACAGAGGGGTCTAGAATTGCAGTCAGCTTGACATTCAGTCTATCACAACGGATGGTCAATATTTGTTCTTGAATGACTAGAGAGATAAAGCAGAAATGCACAGAAAGGAATGGCTGCTCTATATCTTCCCGAGGGGGCCAAGGCTGGGGGCGAAGGGACTGTAGGCTTTAATCATCAACAGGGATTGGGACTAGGCAGATCACTATGAGTAACTAAATTCATGAAAGGCTCTACATGTAGCTTTGGAAGAGGACAGTTCCCTCTCTGACCTCACATGCTCCACTAAACACATCCTGCCACTACAGTGGAGAGATCATTCCTGGAGTAGAGGGGAGGCAGTGGCACAGCTGAGTTCTCTAGAGTATACCATACCTTGAATCTGGGGCTGAGCCTACCTAGTCACCTTGACAAGGAGGCAAGGGCAGGTCAACCTGAGTAAGTGTATTCTGGGACATGTGAGGAAATGTCAGACTCTGACTCCCAGGAATGATCCAGGGAGACCCAGGGAGATGAAGATTGAACCCCAGAGTCAGCATATAGAGGGGCAGAGAGCTTTGAAGTTTCAGAATTAATGTTAACAGAGACTTGTTCATAAACCATAGGTGAGAGAGCTCTACAGATAGTGAAGCATCTCCACAGAGAAGGTTCAGCACACTGTTTTCTAAAGAATTTAGTGCCTGAGCATTCTGTTGAGCTCTTTGCCCACATTTGTCTCTGACTGGATATTTCTAATCTGCTTTCCTTCTCCTGCTTCTTCCCAGCCTGGATTTCCAGATTGATATAAACTTGACCTCTCAGCTCCCCATCTTTCAGCCTCCTTTCCCAGGCTGTATTTAGCATTCTCTCTGCAGAAAGAAAACCTGTGATGGATTCCCTTTGAGTATGACCTGGAAGCATAGGACATACCTACCACACTGTGTGCTGCCTCCAAGGGGGAGCTGACAGCATCAGGTGTTTATTAAGCACTCATGAACCAAGTGTTGGGTGTTCACAAGTTAGGGAAAAACAGGATCCCAAATATAACAGAGGGTCAGGGCAATTCAAAAGTGCATTCAAAGTTTCCTTTATAACTGAAGCCTGGAGTAAATTATCAACAGCTTAAATGTTACCAATAAACATCTGGCTAAATATCTTATGGAAATATAAATTCATTTTTAGAGAACTTACCATGTATCAGACACTATTCTTAGTGTTTTTACAAATATTTACATTTTAGAGACTAAAGAGATGGCTCAGTGGGGAAGAGCACTGGTTGCACAAGGATCTGTGTTTGGATCCCAACACTCACATCAAAAGCTGGTCATGGCAGTGTGTGTGCTTACGAAAGCAATGCTGTTGGAAGGTAGAGATAGGGGACTTGCTGGGGCTTGCTTGCTGCTAGCCTAGCTCCAGGTTCAGTGAGAGAGCCTATGTCAAGGGAATAGGGTAGAGAGTGATAGAGCAAAGCGCCTCATAGTCTCTTGTGGTCTCTGCCAGCGTTCACAGGCACATGCCCCCCACCCAGTACATGTGCATATACTACATATGCGTTAACCACACTTACACACACAAACATACACAAAGAAGAGAATATTAACTTTTAAAATAATTACAGCAATTATCTGAGGTAGATATGTGTTATTTTGATCCTTATAATACATGTAGGGGAACTGAGGCATGGGGCAATAACTCAAGATCACACAGTAAGTGGGATTGCTGAATTCATCTGACTCTGGTGCTCCTATATCTAACCATTGTGTTATACTGCCACTCAGTCCCCACAATGAATGATAAGCAACCAAAAGATGAGGCTATGGTATGGCACTCTTTTATGTTCTGATTTAGAAATGAGTTGCAGAAGAACATGAATGATTTGAGTTTGAGCTCTATATAAGAAATAGCTAGTTCATATGCATGGACAGACTACAGCATGTCTCCGATGGTTTGGATTTTAAAAGACTTTACTAGAGCATGCATTTGCGTATAATTTTAAGATTTTATGTAACTGCATTGATTTGGAAATCAAAGTAAAAAAAATTATTTAAAAAATGACAGGGGTTGGAGAGATGGTTCAGCAGTTAAGAGCACTGGCTGCTCTTGCAGAGGACCTGGGTTCGATTCCTAGCACCCACATGGTAGCTAATGGCTGTCTGTAACTCCAGTTCCAGGCAAATCCAACACCTCCTGACCTCCACAGGCACTGCACAACACTGGTGCACTATCGTACAAGCAGGTAACACACTCATACACTAAAAATAAAAAAATACTTAAGAATGACAATTATATTCACTTTAACTTTTTTTTTTTGTCTTTTTGAGACAGCATCTCCCTGTAGCCCAAGCTGACCTGGACTCTCTATGGAGATCAGGCTGGCCTCTATCTCACAGAGATCTGCCCTCCTCTGCCTCCTGAGTACTGGGATTAAAGGTATACACCACCACACCCAGCTTTCATTGTAACTTTTAACAAGGAATTCAGATAGGAAGCAATTGTGGCCATGAAGTTCGTTACTTTCTGTCTCCAGGAGCTTGCAGATGCTATTTCTTCTTCTACCTGGAGGTCCTACTCTCTTGACATTGGCCTACTTGACTTTTACTCATTTCCAGAGTCCAGTGTGGATGACATTCTCAGACAGAGCTCTTTGTACTCCTGGTGTCCAGTTCACATTTTGTTTTGTTTATCCCATTTTGTTGAAGTTATTAGTTTAATAGTTTTCCTGCCACGCTACTAACGAAAGCCTTATATTCAAGTACCTGGAGCGAAATAAATGTTCAAAAATAATTGCTTTCATTTGATTGAATTATATACTGAGAAAGTGACTCTGTTAGCTAGTTCCTCTTCACAAGCAAAGCAGGGGATGTTGGTTGTGGGTAGAACTGTATCCTTGGCTGTCCGGAAGCAGAGTTCAAAACCCTGAGAAGGAAGATCAGTGTGACCTTCTAGGCAGGAACTCTAAAATGGGAAATGGATAAATGCACTGGGGAGGTTCTGACATGGATC